TGCTTTTCCACTAGTGGATGGAATGGGAGATTTGAGTACTTTTCCGTACTGCCTCAGCCGTGGTTCCATTCCCATAGTACCCGTGCCATGACGTCACGTCGGCCCACTGCCTTATACTGATTGGTCAACGAGTGTCGTCACTGGAAGCGACATCTGACCCTTTGGGAAAAACAACTCAACCGCCATCTTTAAAACCGGCTGCTCTGCTCGGCTCTGCTTCGGCTACATTACGTCCTCCTCACTCCAGAGAAATGGAATTGCACAGAAAGCCCCAAAAGTCCTGGTCCTGGTCGGTGGAAGAGGTCCACACGTTCCTCTCTTAAGGCCAAAAGAAAGAATTCAAAGGCAGCTCGAGGCTCAACACAGTTTTCAGGGAGATCACCCAGCTCTGGATTTGTGACTAGTCTGTGGTAATCCTGGAAATAACTGGCTAGCTACGAATCCCCTAAAGCTCTCACTGAAATGTATTTACTGTGTAAATGCTCGATTGTCTGTTGTACACAGTGAGCTAGCTACATTTAGCTTCATTTAGCTATCGATAGCAAGCTAAACTACTGCTACTGTGCTTTATCTCGTATTATCTGCAGTATTCACGTGTTGTCATTCTGTTTTGTGCTTGTATTTAAGTTGTTGTGTGTATATTTGTATGAGAATCCCTTCCCATAAGTGTGGAGATCACCAACGAGTAATGAGTGACCGGAGTATTCTCATCTGGACCTGGTCTGGACCTACTCTTAGACATACGTACTTTTGACTTTGTAAACTGTTGGTTTTGCACTTTATTTTTGTTTTCAATAAATCTGTGATTGTATCCCAAGACTGTGTTTCATTCATTTATTATTATTGTAGCTGAGGTTTGGGTATCGATTGTTTGTCTGGTCTCGGAGTCTGCAGCCTAGCCTAGCTTAGCCTAGCCTAGCCGCTAACTCGCTACCCCTATGGCTGCCGCTGTCTCTCCCTCGGCCCTTTACTGCTCGAGTTGCCATATGACGAGTTTAAACCCCGGATCCTCATCTGATGGCAGTGATAGATGTGTTAAGTGTAGTATTGTAGTAGCTTTGGAATCCAGGGTTAGTGAGTGAGCAGAGTCTCGAGCTAGCGCTAGCATTAGCTTTAGCCTAGCAGTATCCTCGGACATGCAGCCCTCCTCCTCTGCTACACAGGCCGCTGTTGCTACAGGTCCCATTCAGATTGTACAGAGCAGTCAGCACCATTGACTTCACAGTGTCTGAGTCATTCTTTTAAGACAAAAGCATTTTCAAAAACTACTCGTGCTGAATTTTCTATTAAACACTTGCTCTGGTATTATAATAAATCCATGCACCGCACCAGTACTAGTTACGCGTCACACGTAAATGACGTGGTCTGACAACGCTGAGGACATACTAGGGGGTATTATTTTTGATGGAAAAGCACGCGAACTGGGCCATGGCGCGCCGTGTAGAGTCAAAACGTACCGTACTCGGACCGTGGAAAAACGGCATGTGCTGTAGTACTGGGCTTGCTGTGGCCGAGTGGCAAAGGCGATGGAATGGGTGGTCATTGAGGTCCTCCCACGCAGGTTCGAATCCTGCCCACAGCACATAGAATTATTTTCACATTTTCTTGGAGCACCAGGCCTGTGATGGCTCTATTTCAAGCCGTACTTCAGGGCTTTTTTCGGGGTTAAAACCTCCGAGGACCCCCCCTGGGTCTGAGGCTTGCCAGTGCTGCATTTATGCCCGGATTTCTAAGATTTCTTCGGGGATAGAACCTCCACAGAATCCCCTCGGTTCTGGGACCCGCATGGCCCCATTTTAAGCCGGATTTAAGGGCTTTTTTCGGGGTTAAAACCTCCGAGGACCCCCCCTGGGTCTCAGGCTTGCCAGTGCTGCATTTATGCCCGGATTTCTAAGCTTTTTTCTGGGATAGAACCTCCACAGAATCCCCTCGGTTCTGGGACCCGCATAGCCCTATTTTAAGCCGGATTTCAGAGCTTTTTTCGGGGTTAAAACCTCCAGGGACTCCCCTTGGTTCTGGGACCTGTCATTGCTCTTTTTCAAGACAGATTTCATGCGCTCTCTCCCAGGGAGAAATGCGCCCACCCTTATTCTTTGAGAATGTGTGTGCGTGTGTGTGTGTGTATGTGTGTGCATGTAAATGTACATTTCTCCATTGTGAGATCAATAAAGTTTATCTTATCTTATCTTATATGTGTGATTGTGTTCGTGTGTGTCTATATGCGTTTGCCTCCGTGTGTGTGTGTGTGTGTGTATCTGTGTGTAGATGTGTGTGTGTGCATGTGTATGTGTGTATGTATGAGTGTATGTCTGTGTGTGTCCTTGTGTGTCTCTGTGGGTGTGCGTGTCGGTGTGTTTATGTCTCTGTGTGTGTATGCATGTGTGTCTGTGTGTGTGTGTGAGAGTGTGTGAGTATGAACGTGTCTCTGTTTGTGTCTCTGTCTGTGTACAGTATGTGTGTGTCTCTCTGTGCGTCGGTCTCTGTGTGCGTCTCTGTGCATCTGTCTCTGCATCTGCCTCTGTGTGCGTCTCTGTGTGTATATGTCTCTGTGTGTTTGTGTGTTTGAGTGCGTCTCTGTGTGTGTGTCTCTGTGTGTTTGTGTCTCTGTGTGTGTGTGTCTCTGTGTGTGTGTGCGTCCCTGTGTGTGTCTCTGTGTGCGTCTCTCTGTGCGTGTGTCTCTGTGTGCGTCTCTCTGTGTGTGTCTCTCTGTGTGCGTCTCTCTGTGTGTGTGTCTTTGTGTGTGCGTCTCTGTGTGTGGCTCTGTGTGTGTGTGTCTTTGTGTGTGCGTCTCTGTGTGTGCGTCCCTGTGTGTGTCTATGTGTCTGTGTGTGTGTATTGGGAGAGAGGCTGCGGCCTTCAGCTACACGTTCTCAGAGAGGGTCCACAGACAGAGAGACCACCCCGCAATCAGAGCCTCACAACTGCATTGTAATTGTGATATCATAGAATACAACTCAGGTGATTGGTCAGTTCACATACAGAGAGGTGTGGCTGCCGGCTGACCCGGCTGGGAAACAGAGGTCAGAGGTCTATTGAAACCCAGAAAAAGTCCTGATCCGTAAATATGTGACGGCTGATCATTTTCTGGCATTTCACCTGACCTGAATCTTATGGATGTGGCTTTCCATCAAGCGCCTCATTCATTCCCCTTAGTCCCGCCCCTTTACCATTGTAGCTCCGCCCCCTCGTGTAGCCACGCCCTCATCCTTGGGCATAAAAACAGTGGGTTGTTGCAGGTGTTCAAGCCACAGCGCTCCGGTGACTGCAACAGACACCATGAAGCTCCACCTCCTCCCGCTCGCCCTTCTGATGTCACTGATGATGTCACCAACGGTAAGAGTCACTTGCTATTCTTGTTACGAAGAGAGAGACCAGAGACAGACCAGAGAGACCAGAGAGAGAGACAAGATAGAGAGAGACCAGAGAGAGACCAGAGACAGACCAGAGAGACCAGAGAGAGAGACAAGATAGAGAGAGACCAGAGAGAGACCAGAGACAGACGAGAAAGAGCGACAAGAGAGAGATCAGAGACCAGAGACAGACCAGAGACAGACCAGAGACAGACCAGAGACAGACCAGAGACAGACCAGAGACAAACCAGAGACAGACCAGAGAGACCAGAGAGAGAGACCAGAGAGAGACCAGACACAGACGAGAAAGAGCGACAAGAGAGAGACCAGAGAGAGGGACCAGAGGGGGATACCAGAGAGAGAGATATCAGAAACCAGAGAGAGACGAGAGAGACCAGAGACAGACCAGAGACAGACCAGAGAGAGCGACAAGAGAGAGACCAGAGAGAGGGACCAGAGGGGGATACCAGAGAGAGAGATATCAGAAACCAGAGAGAGACGAGAGAGAGACGAGAGAGAGACCAGAGAGAGACCAGAGACAGACCAGAGACAGACCAGAGACAGACCAGAGACAGACCAGAGACAGACCAGAGAGAGCGACAAGAGAGAGACCAGAGAGAGACCAGGGAGATCCAGTGTATGTGCAAAGACAGCATTTTGTGGCTCATCTTTGAAACTTGGTCTCAGAGTGGAGACTGGTGTTTCAGCTGTTTGTGAACGATACATACGGAACACCGGGTTCATATGTGCTTGTGATAGTAGAGTTGTTGGATTTTCATTAAAGTGAATTAGAATATATTCAAAGTTTAGACAGCTTTGGGATAACCTACGTGTGTGGTGGGATGCAGCATTCTCCTGTGTACAGGAGAAAAAAACATGCTGTATTATGTTATATATTGTACAATATATGTATTATGTTATGTATTGTGTTATGTTGTATATTATGTTATATATTATGCTGTATGTTATGTTGTGTATTATATATTATATATATGGTATGTATGGTATGATGTATATGGTATATAATATATAATAAGGTTTGCTTGGATCGGTTTGCACACCTGGTGTGCAATCCATGAATCTTGGTGCTGTAACCTAGACTAGCCTAGCCTAGCCGGGGCTGCTGCTGTCTCACCTCCTTTCAGATACGCTCTCTTTATTCAAGGCTAGGTTTAAAACAGTCCTCTTTAGTTTAGCATATGGCTCGGAAGGTAAGACTCAGGGAAGGCTAAACTCCTCAGACTGTCAGTCAAGCTGCATAGGGAGTCAGTTTGCTGGGAGAAGTATGGTAACTTGAGCACTATCCTCTCCTCCTTCCTACTTTATCTGTTTAGCATTTTTAGGATTTTGACTGTAGTTTGTTCATTGCTATTCACCCGTTGTCCCATTGTCTGTTTCATGGTACGATGACGGGATCTCTGAGCCTGGCCTCCTCCATCTACACCTGCGGACTGCCCTGCCCGACCCGCCTGGGAGTGCTTCAGTCCTGAACCGGACCTGTCCACGTTCAGCGGCCACTGGTCCATGTTCTGTAGCTAGCTTAGGTCCTAGATCATTAGCCTGTCCGTCCGGAGGAGCGGATCCCTTTCTCAAATGGGTCTCCCTCCCTGTGGGTTTCCCTAGTTCTCCCCAAGGTTTCTCACTTTTTCCCACTGGGGAGTGGGAGTTGTTCCTTGTCGATGCAGGAGGGTCTTGTTGGACAGTTAGTGTCCAACAGAAAGGATTGGTGATGATCCGGACACTTTAGCATTCTACAAAATGTATGGACATTTTCTTCTGTGTGTTCTTTATATTCTTCATGCGTTTTAACTGTTGATTCTCTGACCTGTGTTGGTGATTTCAATGGTTTTGTTAAGTCCTCTGAGATGACTTCTGTTGTGACCTAGGGCTATACAAGAATAAATTGTATTGTATTGTATTGTATTGTATATTGGGGCGACAGTAGCTCAGTTGGTAGAGCATTGGCCTTTGGGCCTGAAGGTCGTAGGTTCGAGCCCACCATAAGACCTACTTCACGACTCCCACTGATGACTGCTGTCGTTGTGTCCTTGGGCAAGACACTTAACCCTACTTTGCCCAAAGCCCCAACTGAAAGATCTCAGCTCCTGTGGACTCACCACCTGCAGGAGGATCAGTGAGGGGCTGGTGCTATGTGTCCTGGGTGCAGCTCTGACTGCCACCCCCCTGAGCCAGAAATGGATTAAGGGGAAGAAAATGGATGGATGGAGCGTATTGTATATTTTGGTCCTTCTTGCCCCGGATGCCAACATGCTTTTCTGCGGAGCTGAAGATGCCTCAAACATGGAGTTGGAGCAGCGGTGAGGCCTTCTTCATTCAGAACTGCTTTGAGGACTCCATCTTTGAGGCATGGCCAGTCTCTGGATTGAAGTTGACGGCAGAACTACAGTTTCTGGACATCCACAACAAACAAGGTAAAACAAAATAACCAAAAAAAAAAGTGAATAAAATAAAGAATTTAAGAAACAGAATTCTCAAAGACTGAGAAAGTACAGGCCTAAAAGCATAAAAGAGTTATGGCTTGCATTATAGTAAGGAACTATAATACACTGCAAAGACTGCAGTTAGAGTACTCGACTTGAACGGGGTTCATGTAGAATTCAAGACGTCTGTGTGAATGAAAATTTAGTTTAATTTTTTTTATTTTTAAATCATCGGACAAAACCACTTCATATTTCAGTGATAGGGCAATCTAATGACCAAAGCGCTAGTCATTTCATACTACTAAGCACTGTGTATTTAGAGGCAATTTGTTGGCAGATGTAGTTTTAGATTGTTTATTTCATTTAAAGTGTCTGGTAAAACGTGAAAATGGTTTGAAATATCTTGAAAATTGATATCTTTCCATTTAAGACCGTTTTACAAATGAATGTTAGTGTGCTAGTAACTGCTAGGTGATCTGAAGTCATTCTATGCTCAGTTACGAATGAATGTATTAGTTCTGTATGAGTGAGGGGGTTAAAACAGCTGGAGAAAGAGATATATCTAAATAATAATTGAAATTGGATATTGAAATTCTTAAAAAAATAGAAGCTTTATGTGCACACTGTCTGTCCTCTATGTGAGTAACTGTCTGTTTATGTTTAAGATTTAACAGACAAACATTTCCTCTTATGTGAGTAGTATTTGTTTGTTTGTTACTTCAGGTTTTGCATGTAAGTGTTTGTCTTCTATGTTTGGGACTTAACTGACTTAACTAACAGACTATAAGATGAATAGGAAAGGTGGGAAGAGAGAGCGAGAGAGGAGTCTGTTTCAGGAAGGAAAAAGAAAGGGTGATAGTAAAGATAGAAGCAATGATTTATGCTTAAAATGTCACAAGAGAGGACACTGGAAGAGAGATTGTACAGAAAGTGTTGAGTATGTTAAGAGAAAGACTAACAAAGTAGCAATGGATAATTGTAATGTTAACAGCAGGTTAGAATTAACACTTGATATTTGTGAAGAACACATGGCTTCACTCAGTTTGGAAAAGCTGAGTGATTTAAAAAAACATTTTAGATGTGCAGGGAAAAATGTTGAAACAGCAAAAGAAGTTTCTATAGATGCATGTATTAAGATTAAACAATGCAAAGAAGTCATGAGTGAGTCAACACTAATGTTTTCTTCTCTTTCTGAGTCCATCACAGCCAGTCAAAGAGAGACACTTGGGGCAGATTGTCTGACCCTTCCCAGCCACAGCTCCATCCACAGCCAGTGCCTCACTCCACTCTGACCAGGAAGACAGGTCTGGGAGCAGAGTGCATCCAGATGAGGAGGAGGGAGCGAAGCAGTGGCACAAAGAAGCAAGGCTGCTTTAATTGTGGTTCTTTTGACCATTGGACACAAGAGTGTTTTAAACTTCACAGATCAATTACAAGTTCATGTGCTGTGGTTGGGAACGACGAATCAGACGCCTAAGAAGTCCTCTCTGACTGATGCTGACACAGAACAATCAGATAAGTGGGAAACACTCTGAAAATAAGCAGTTTAATTTTTCAGATTTGAATAATAATGTTTAGTTTCATTTGAAGGGTTTAAATTCAACAGTAAGGGAAGTTACTGTAGCATGTTTAATGTTTAATGGTTTCATCAAAGAAATGCAAATCTGTTTGATTCTGAATATAACTAGTTATACATTATTTCAATAGTTAATTGTGATGTTTTCATTTCTGACACAAGAAAATATAAAGTCATAGGACTGTCTTCAGCAACAGTTTTCATTAACTGCTAAGTTGGTTTTCTTTTGGGGTTTACTGAACTAAGTTTGAAATGTATTAACAAATGTGTACTTTGTGTGTTTTGTTTGAGGGAAACACCTAAAACACCACTTTTGATGCTCAAAAAGCTCAGAGTTCATTCCTGTGAAGGAGACGCCCACTCCCACCCCCACCAATCATCAACCAGCAAACCAGCAGGCCAAACCAAGCCAAACTAAGCCAAACCAGCAGGCCAAACCAAGGGCTAAATGCTGCAACTACAGAAGCAATGATGCAAAGGGTCATCCAGAGGTCAGACTCAAATCAACCACTTGACTCTGTGTGTTTTTGGGACATTTTGCAGATTTCCAAAAAATCTGAAAGACTGGGTTGACCGAAGACATCACCTTTGTGCAAAGATCTGAGGACTGGAGGTTTCCAGTTTTTGCTGTCGGTTCTAAAGTGTGTGAACAGGACAGAGGCTTCTGGACATGATGGGGCTGTGCTGGATGGTGCTGGACGTTGCTGGCTGCAGAAGATATCAGGGTGTGGAGGCGTGTCTACAACAGGCGTTACTGGACAATAGGCTTTTTGGTGTGGTGTTGAAATTGATAACCAAAGTTGACACATTTCAAGTTAATACATTTCAGGTGAAAACATTCCAGGTTAATACATTTCAAATTTTTATGCTACATTAATTTACATGAGTAAATTGGGTATTTGTGTCTTTTTCATTTCATACACATGAATAATTAGGAATGATGTTTAGTTATTGAGCCATTTTTAATGTCTCAAACAGGGGGGAGATATGGTTTATAGAGGAGGAATTACATATCAATATGAAATGATCTCTAAAAAAATTTTTTTTAGTTCTTTTCTGTGTGTGTTTCTGTAACCAATGTGATTTTTATAAGACACATGTCAAGAGGGGTCTTTAAGTTGAGCCGACGCAACTTGGATTTCAAATGTAATACTGTGTTTGTATCTATTTCATTGTGTTCCATCTTTAAGTTGGTTTACTAAACATTGAATGTGATTAATTCTTTTAATGAAAAACAGGAGGGAATGATAGTAGAGTTGTTGGATTTTCATTAAAGTGAATTAGAATATATTCAAAGTTTAGACAGCTTTGGGTTAACCTACGTGTGTGATGGGATGCAGCATTCTCCCATCCCCCAGTCATGAGTGAACGACTAGTCTAAATAAGCAGGAAGCCGAAAACATCTGTTTTCAGTAGATCTCATGTTTACTTAGAGGGAAGCCACGTCTTCTCTGAGGGAGAGGAAGGTGGGACATATTGTTGCATGTGTTTCAAATTATCATGGTATAAGACCAGAGCTCTTTGTCCATTCTTTGTCACTCTGCTGCTACATCTAGCTGACCCAGACTGGTGCAGTCTGTAAAACTTGTCTGTTTGTGCTGATGTCCAGATAAACTTTTTGAACCAGCGGCTGACAACATGTATTAAAGAGATTATGTTGTTGAAATGTGACTAGTTTATTCACAGCTTGTGATGAAGATGAATTTTACAAATCACTTGTCTTCAGATTGCCGCACCAAACATGGACCCCACACTGGACCCAGAGCCAACTGAGCCAGAGCCAACTGAGCCAGGTGAGAGAGCGGGGCTTCTGCAGAGACTGGGGAAAGGCCATAGAGCAAATAAGAGGAGATGACGGAAGATGTGCCATAACAGGCGGGTTGGTAAGACGGTTGTAAGGGCAAAATGGAGTCTTCCCCACAAATGAAGGCCTCTAATTGGTCCATTCTTATATCAATCAATCAATCAATCCTTATATGACCCTTTGTCTGCGATGGCAAACCCCCAGTATGGTCTCTGTGTTGTGTTGTGTTCTACTGCTCTGGGGTCAACAGTGTCTGTGATTGTGGCCCGTTCTTCCTGGTAGAATGATGTAACTGATGAAGTCCCTGTTTTTCAGATGAAGAAAGTGTGAGCAACATCATCGCCAAAGCCAACAAGGACCTTGGTGAGTCTCAGCAGAGTCTGTAGTAGTAGCAGTAGCAGTAGTAGAAGCAGTCGCAGCAGTAGCAGTGAGTATTGTCAGTATTGTCAGTATTTTGTTTTTTTCCCTCAGACTCTGCGATGACTGAAGGAGACATAAAGTCCGACGGCCGCAGAAACGCACTCAGCTGTCGGTTCTGCAAGTGGCCCAAAAGCGGGAGCTACGTCAACATCTTCTACCGCCTCAGCAACAGCTACAGTGAGTCAGGGGTCAGATCTACTACTTAGATGTTCTTGAACTAGATTCATTTAGGTTAACTCTGACCTCCAACCCTGACCTCTGACCTCTGCCCCTCAGCTTCAGAGCAGAAGGACTTCATTCGTTCTGTGATGACAGGACTGGAGAATAAAACCTGCATCCGCTTCAAAGATGTGGACAGTGTCTCGTGGTGGAAATATTTAAGACATCTGTCCATCTACCCAGGGAAAGGGTCAGTACCACAAATATAGATACTAAAGGTACCCAGGGAATGGGTCAGTACCACAAATATAGGTACTACAGGTACCCAGGGAATGGGTCAGTACCACAAATATAGGTACTACATACCCAGATATATTTTGATATTCTTAAGATATTTTTAAAAAGTATAATGATATTGTTCATGTAATTTAAAATATCATTACATTTAAAATCATGTTTTTACCTGTGAAATAAAATGGTTTGTCAAGTCTCGCGAGACTTGGGGCGAGATTTTGGGTCTGAGATTTGCGCGCCGCCATTTTGAATATAGCCGGCTGGTTAGCATTTGTGGTTAGGTGTGTGGGAGATGCTGCATTAAGAGCTGCTACAGGTAAACATTTACCTCTCTAACTCGCTACCTCTGCCAAATCGAAGATCAGTTCCTAAAACGTTGTCCTCCCAACCTTTTACAGATTCATGTGACCGCAAAGTTGTCTTTGCTGCGTATATGTGTGTGTGTGTGTGAAGAAGGAATCGGTGAGTGCAATGTTATTGTTATGCTAATGCTAACTGGCGCAAAATGCTATCCGGTGCTGGCATTTATTGCTATGTGAGATTTTTATTAAGCTAAATCAGCTAAACTATAAGTGTATGCCTCACTCTATGAATTGTGTTAAGGTACCTGTTTAATGTCGTAAATGAGTGTGAACTTTTACTGTCATGAACAACCCATGGTTATTTAATGTATTCACCTGGTAGATAAGGGAATATTTATGCATGCATATTTTGTACACAGGCCAGGCTTAGGAGACTGCTTATTGCCATTGGCGACTTGCCGTGAGAGTACTGCCAGCAGCCATCCTACAGTTACCTGTGTGTTTTGATCAGCCTTCACGTCTGCTGCGGTAGGACACGCTGTAGGCACTCGCTCACTCCCACCACCTCCTACATTACGAGGGTTTTGCCGGGGAGCTATTTTCCTTTCTTCTGGATCCTAGAACTGTTTACCTCTTGGGACTAAGAGGCCCTATCGGACTCTGAACGTGAACTCGGTGGATGGAAAGAGCGATTGGTTACTTGTTTTTGGTTTTGTTTTGTTTTGTAAATATTCAAGTGCACTTGAGCCTGTAAATATTGTAAATACCCCTTCTTTAAAATATCAATAACACAAATAATTTGCTAGCATCCCAGTGGTCTTGAGTATTTCATACGCACTATCATTTCCTCCCAGAGAGAACTTATTTTTCTGAGTAGTCTTAGTCATATTACATTTTACAAAGAAAGTTACTATATTACCGATATAATCAGTAACTCTTATGCACATACGTGTTACATAAGTGGCGAGCTAGCCAGGAGGAAATCTAAAATAGTGCTTAATAAATACTCTGGGTGCTTTATGTAAAAATGGAAGTGTTTGAAGGGATGCCACTCAAAATATCAAATACATTGCTGTTTGAGGGCACGACGTCTGATGTCAAGGAAGTTGTTGAGTTCCTTGAACAATACGGTAAGATTAACAGGACAGCGATTATAAATGACCCCGTTTCTGAATTTGATGAAGCCCTTGTTGTTGAATTTGAATCGGGTATGTCTATTGCTACGCTTAAGCCAATATTGCCATACAATTTCAGTTCAGTTAAGAACCCAGGAAGTTATTTTATTCGTGAGTTATCGGATATTTATTCAAATCATGTGGGAAAAGTTAAAACTGAAACTTATTTGGCTGATATTCAAAAACTGGCTAAAGTATCAGGCATAGACTATGCTGAAGTTCTCTCAACTATGATGAAGCAGATTAGTAACTCACTCCAAGACATAAAGCCTGACGAAGCCAAGTCCTCAATAAGCTCAACTGAAGCTATTGTGTCACCACCCACAATCAATGTGTCCTCCTTGCCCAGAGGGAGAATATCTACTGCCCACTTACCTACTCAAGATTTGAATCCCCCCGAGGTCCAGAGGCTGGTTGTGGAGCACATAGTGAAAAGTGAGGACGGTCCGACACATCACCTGTCCACACAGAGACTCAGCCCATTCTCGGGACAGACCCCTCAGACCCCTGCACGAAGCAGATTATGACACCTGGCGCGCAGGAGTGGAGCTATTGTTAACTGACCCAGCGGTATCAGATCTACATCGTTCAAGGCGTATTGTTGACAGTCTGCTGCCACCAGCTGTGGAAATGGTCCGCCACTTAAGTTCTGATACATTACCTGTGGTTTACATGCAGATCTTGGATTCAGCATACTGAACGGTCCAAGATGGTGAAGAGTTGTTTGCTAAATTTATGGACACTTTTCAAGATTCAGGGGAGCGTGCGTCTTCTTATTTACAACGTCTTCAATGTGTTTTAAACTTGGCTGTTAAGAGAGGTGGGGTCGCGGAAGTTGACACAAATAGACACTTGCCTAGTCAATTTTGTCGCGGCTGCTGAGACAATACACTTATTTCCGAATTACAGTTAAAACAAAAGAAATTCAATCCGCCCTCTTTCGCAGAGCTACTTTTATTGCTACGAACTGAGGAAGACCGCGAGGCATCAAAAAGTATCCGTATGAAGCAACATCTAGGGTCAACAAAGCAGAAAGTTTCTACTCATGCTCATATTGCCCACACTGAACATGAAGATAAAGGTGCTATAGCTGCCCTAACCTCTGTCACTCAACAATTGGCCCAGCAGGTTGCAGATATTCAAAAACAACTGGCTCTATTAACTACAACACAGTCTTGTTCAAAACACCCAGTGCCCATTCCTCCCTCAAATAGCAAACCCAAGTTTGATAAATCATTGTCACGTCGACAAAGGTTTTGTTATCGCTGTGGTGAAGATGGTCATATTCGTCCTGAGTGCACCAATGAACCCAACTCTGCCTTGGTTGCTCATAAGAAGAAGCAGGTCAATACACAGTTTCAGTCCAAGAGAAACTTGACCGGCAACAGGGAGTTAAACTAGAACCAGTTCCTGTTACGGGGACAACAGGGGCTGGGGAGGGTCGACAATTTCCCCCAAAGAAAGCTGCTCAATGTAGATTATCACAGTCCAACTCTACTTCATCGAAATTACCTCGTGGACTGGTGGGTTCAAAGTGTACAGCACTGGTGCAGATAGCTGGGTGTGAGTGTTCTTGCTTATTGGACACAGGCTCTCAGGTCACCACAATTCCAATTTCGTTCTATAATAATATTCTCTCAGATCAACCCGTCAAGTCACTCAATGATTTACTCCATTTTGAGGCAGCTGTAGGGCAGACAGTACCGTATTTGGGGTATGTGGAGGTGCAAATCACATTCTCCAAAGACTTTTTAGGTTCTGAGTTTACTGTACCCACACTGGTATTGGTAGTTCCAGATGAGGGCCCGGCACCAGTTCTTATTGGAATGAACACGTTGGAGCCGTTATACACTCATTATCTTCAGAGTGATTGTAACATCTCTCCCCCAGTTTCACAGGGCTATTGCGCGGTGCTGAAGCTCCTTGCCCTACGCCACCAACACAGCCAAGAGGGCAGTGTGGGAGTAATCCGGGTGTGCAGTAAGACACCACAGACTGTCCCTGCTGGATGTACAGTTGTTTTGGAGGGATCCGCTGATGTTAAACTCCACTCGGCTGGACGTTGGACACTTTTTGAGCATCCCACGTCTCCGCTTCCCGGGGGTTTATGTGTGCAGAGCTGTCTAACTTCCATCCCAAAGCTTGCACCATACAAAGTTCCGGTCGTGGTAACCAACGAGTCAGAGCAAGATGTACTGATCCCACCGCGCACAACTATTGCCAATGTTGGGGAAGCAGCTAGCATATTGTTACAGCAAGCTGTTAGTGCCGCCATTACCAACAATACTCCGCTACATTTCAATTTTGGTGATTCACCTGTACCAGCTGAATGGAAGGATCGTATTGTAAACAAATTAAGTCAAGCTTCTGAAGTTTTCTCCCAGCATGACTTGGATTTTGGCTGCACAGATAAAGTCCGGCATCACATCAAGCTCAGTGATGAGACGCCATTCAAGCATCGTGCACGGCCAATTCATCCCCAGGATATTGAGGCAGTCCGGAGTCATCTTCGCGATCTCCTCGAAGCGGGGGTAATCAGGGAGTCTGAATCACCTTATTCGTCTCCTATTGTGGTTGTTAGGAAGAAGAATGGTGATGTCAGACTGTGTATAGACTTTCGAAAATTGAACTTACAAACTGTGAAGGACGCTTACACATTGCCTAATCCAGAAGAATCTTTCTCAGCACTCAGTGGTTCCAAGTGGTTCAGTGTACTGGATTTGAAGTCTGGTTATTACCAGATTGCCATGAATGAAGAAGACAAGCAAAAGACAGCCTTTGTTACTCCGATCGGATTCTGGGAATTCAACCGAATGCCCCAGGGTGTGACAAACGCACCAAGCACTTTTCAGAGATTAATGGAGCTCTGTATGGGTGATCTCAATTTAAAGGAAGTTTTAGTGTTCCTCGACGATATCATCATTTTTTCGGAAACACTGGAAGAACATGAGAACCGGCTACTCCGGGTACTTGAACGGTTGAAAGATTTTGGAAAAGTGTCTTTTCTTTCAGACATCCGTGAGGTACCTGGGTCACATTGTTTTGGAGAAGGGTGTGGAGACGGATCCTGGAAAGATCGAAGCCTTAAAATCCTGGCCGATTCCTACGAACTTAAGAGAGTTGAGATCATTCCTTGGATTCGCCGGTTATTATCGCCGGTTTAGTAAGGATTATGCTTCTTTCACCAAGGCGCTGAATGACCTCACCAAAGGTTATGGGTCAACACGGAAGTCCAACAAGGTGAAGCATCCTCCCACTTCCTACCTGACGACCAAAGAACCCTTTGGGGATCGATGGACTACGGAGTGCCAGAGAGCTTTTGAAGTCTTGATCGACAAATTGACGTCGGCACCTGTCCTCGGTTTTCCCAACCCCAAGCAACCCTATATTCTGCATACGGATGCCAGCACAACCGGGCTGGGAGCTGCTCTTTATCAAGAACAGGATGGGCGGCTCAGGGTCATCGCTTATGCAAGTCG